CTGATTGATGATTGATTGATTGATGGCCAGTGACTGGTGTATGCTGACAGGTGAATGCCGATTGTAGTGCTGAAGGAATGAAGGAGGGACAGAGTGACAGTTATTCTGTATCTCCGAACATGCATCTATTATAGGTGTTATTTTAGCCGTGTTAATAATTTGGGTTGTGTTAAACCCAGTGTGCTGATGTGAGGGATGACGAAGAAGAAATAGGTCATCGCGTGACTTCAGAAAAGCATGAAAAGAAGAATGGATCTCCTGGTTAATCTGGAATGGTTTTGAACAATAAGAAAACAGATTTTGAAACGCTTGCTAGAAGCAAAATCACCCAGGATAAAGGACATGGAAATGAAAAGCAGAGCAAGTGACACGTAGCACTGAAGAAGCCGAACAAGCAGCGGAGACAAGATATGGAGAGAGGGGATATCACGATGGAAGAAACACTCTCAAAAGGTACTTAACAGACCAGCTCATAGGTTACACCCTTGATTCCAGGAGCCGAAGAGGACCTTGATATCAGTCTGGAGGACATCAATCAGACCAAAGTTCGAAAATTAATCAAAGCCCTCGAAAATAGGAAAGATTTTTTTTCAAGGACAGCATCTGCACAGAAGCTTAAGTCAGAAGAAACTCAAAAGATCCCCAGACAAATGTTCCAAAATATATGGCAGAGTAAAGAAACCATCTCCGAATGCAAAATTAAAATCACCGTAAACAAAGGTGGCTATGGGCACTGTAACAACTGGAGATGTATTACTGTATTATCTTTCACCATCTAGGTTTTCAGCAGAATCATTCTCAAGAGAACAACCGTCGAAGCGGATGACCTCATCAGAAAAGAACAAGCTAGATTCTGTATTAATCAGATTTTTACACTCCGACAGATAAGAGAGCAGACATCTGAACGAAACAGTAAATAGACTGCAAAAAGATTTTCTACAGCTTTCATCCCGACTCCCCCTCTTGCAAATGCTCTGGTACTGTGGTATCATACTAAATTTTGTAAACATCGTCATATTTCTGCACTAACACTTCCAGTTCAATGTCATCTGCGACAACAATCTCACAGACTGGTTCAGCATCCATATGGCTGCTAAACAAGACTGCATATTTGGACCTTTCCTTTTCACCCTCACCATCCAAAGAGAGAGAGAGAGAGAGAGAGAGAGAGAGAGAGAGAGAGAGAGAGAGAGAGAGAGAGAGAGAGAGAGAGAGAGAGAGAGAGAGAGAGAGAGAGACAACTGTGGACTTCATAAGAAGAATTAGGTGGACCTTAACTTCATCCATGGATGACCTCAACTATTCCGATTACATTGGACATATATATATATATATATATATATATATATATATATATATATATATATATATATATATATATATATATATATATATATATATATATATATATATGTTAGACAGCCATAAAGATAGAATTGAAAGTGAGCAGGAAGAAAAGCTAATTAAATAGGAAAAAAAACCATTCAAACAGTGGTCCTGACCAGTGAATAGTTAACAAAATAAAGGAGGTAGAGAAACAGAAACTCAGAGATCGAAGAAGCAACCAGAATTAACAAAACAAACGAAACCTTTTGTACGCTGAAACATATTTAAATCCGAAAAACTCTGACACTAGACAAGCATGGGCATTTATCGAAGCAATGTTATCGAAATACTGCTTTACGTCTTTGAATGCTGGAAGCTAACATTGAGTATAGCACAAAAGCTTGAATTCTTCCAAACCAAGTGCCTGAATAAGATTCTTGACATAATCTGACCAAAAATGATAAAAATGAATACCTTCGTCAAAGGATAGAATCAATATATCTTGTCCTGATTGTGAAGAATAGAAGACAGGTATGGATTGTACATGTTTGTCGAATGTCACAAGTTGCACTAAACAGTACAGCCCTCCTCTGGGATGTGAAAGAGTGGTCGACCCAAAAAGACTAGGAGGAGGATGACAGTTCACGGTCTGATATGGAACACTGTCGCACATAGGGCTGCAGCCCGTCAGCAGTGGCACCCTCCAAATGAATCCTTACGACCTACCTATGGTAAATCAAGGGATGATTGGACTGACTGGACATTTGAAGTAATGTAACGCTGTATACTCAATAATCTGAGTCACTCCGATCAACCGTGTACCAAATTAAAGGCAATTAAACGTTACTTTTGCACAATACCCAAGATATCCAATGTCTGTTTTAATTAACTAGGATAGTTAATAAGGGAAACCTGGATAATTCTTTTTCTATAAAAATCAAGTCCTTGTGCAAAGTGCCAAAGTGTAGAGCGCAACCCTAATCTTAGAAATAACCGAGATGGTCCGAATAGATTGCGGTTTCTTTCTTTAGAAGAAATATCTCGCAGAAATAGCCGAAGTGGTCCGAATTGCACCGTTATGTCAATGGGTTACATCAGCCAAGAAGAATAAAAAACTTGACATTATCTGCCACGTGATGTATTCATTCAAGGATAATACGAAACATTACAGTTTATTTCCATTAAATCAATATTTCAGTATTTCAAAAGTAATATCAAAAGCTCGTTCATTATAAAATGAGGGAAATTAAGCATAAAACTACAACCTTACGAAGAGCGTTCAGAAAAGTTTCATTTTTTAGCCTTTATTTCGATGTGGTCAAATCAGACAACAGCTTTCAAAGCATATTGTTGACGGGTTAAAGAAGTTATAATGATTTCTTTTTTAAAAGAAAAAATTTCTGTGCTTTACTAAATTTGCATAATTGTTTCTTTCTCATTGAATATTTGGCTATCTTGCGTATTTTTTAGTTCTTTTTTGTCGCACTGTGCTTAAATATTATCTCTGTGACAGGTAGTTTGCCCAATTAATTGTTGCATGGCACCATAGTACTTAACGCTGTTTAATTCTAATTGTATATTTAAAATTATATTTGGTTAAATGAGGATAAACGGTCATTTAAATAATTAGATTGCAAAAGCTTATAACGGCATTCATACAAAAATGTATGCACGATGTTTTCAAATTTATTCACAATCCTCCAAAATACAAAATTTGATTGAATCGATTACTCCGCCCGCAATCAGAAATTCCTGCATAATTATCCAATTTGTAACAATATAAGAGAGTTTATTATACTTCTGTAATCAAGGAAATTTCCGTTTTGACGTTATGCATGATTTAACATTGTTGTAACTACAAAAGGATATACACAAGCAGTCTGAGTCAGAATGGGACATTGATTTTTTTATGATTTAGATGAAATAAATACGAAACATTGATTAACAATACATTTGTTTTTGTTTTGTCGATCTCGCAGTCTTAAGTCAGTGATAGAGTTAATTCACGCAATCAATCGATTATTTTCATTTACAATAATTAAAAGCAATTCTGATCACGATTGAAATGAAGAAAGGTTAAAGAAAATAAAATGTACGCGAAACACCTCGTGCAATCATTAATTACTTGTGTTACGGAAACGACCTAGTTGGGACTATTGTCAAAGAAATGTTTAACCTGTCTAGGTTTACTTATATTTTAAAACAGGCTATTCGAGTAGATTTTGCCAGGCGGATCCAATGGTTGAGCAAAACTATATATTCCTGCATATATGGTACCGTGGCCTGAACTACGAACCTCAGACTTGCCATGCGGGATTACTACAACTGCGCTACCCAGACATCTGGCGCATCCAATCCAAAAAAAAAAGACAGATACAATCAGACTGAACGTAGCAGCTGCTGACTTTTGTCAACTGTCACATTAAAAACTACATGCGATAATTTCAGTATCTGTTGAGTATAGTGAGTGGAAGAAAAAGCGTATTCTAAACATAACTTTTCACAACAGGTGTTTTATGTTTGAAAACTAAAAAGAAAAAAAAACCACACACACACGCCAAATGCTTCATGATAAGAATTTGACTAAAATGAGGAACATCACACAGGTAGCAATTAAAAGTGCATTTTTTATGAAGTTTCTGAAATATAGTTTAAAGCTGGAGTCATTGCGAACCGTCGCCATCGTAATAAAGTTTTCGCTCGATAGAGACAAACGTAATGGTCAGTTTGTATCGCTAATATTCAGCTTACCATTATTATGAGTCTAGGTTTTTACGAAAGTAACAGAAAAGAGTGAAGACAAAAAGTTTTGTAAAATTTGACAATTTATTTTACTAGAATATCAAGTGAAAAATGAGAGACAAGAACATACGGTTTTACGAATCAAATCTAAAAGTAATCAAAGAATTAAAAATAGAAGTCATAGTATTGAAAGAACTGAATGAATCTGATGTAGAGTCCCAATGAAATCCAAAATGGAAGACGATGACGCCTGTTGTAACCTTCATCAAAGTGTAGACGTGCCAACAGTTTCTTGTTGAATCACAGAAGATATAATTTCAGTTTTGAATTCCTAGGAAATTTACATAAATGTCTTTATCCAAGAATTTTGTTGGGGCACTTATTTATTTCTAGGGAAAAGAATCACTTGAATTCAATAAAATAAAATTTCAACTAAGACTGATCACAACATAACAACTTAACATATTAATTGTTTGGAGACCGACTGAAAAATTCGATTAAAACAAAAGTTATACGCTAAGACGCAAAACATATTCCCGGACGAGGGTTAATCTTCTAGAAAAATAGAAGTTTGAAACAATTAAATCATGTTTCATATAAAGTACTCTGGGTATGGCCTTGACTTTATAACGATTCTTACTCTGAGAAAAAAAAATTAAAAAGTTGTTTACCAAAACTGTCATTGATTTTGGCAGATGATGTCAAAAACTAGATACAGTGTTTCTATTATTGGTTGTTCATGTTTATCATTGAAATAAAAAAAAACTTGTCTGGTAAAAAAAATATACTCAGTTCTTGACAATATCAAATCCAGTAAATAAAGTTACATTACAATAGCATGTAATGGAATTTTTTAAAAACTTTAAAACTAACAAACAAATAATTAAAATGAATGCACATAACACCATAAAATGTTCATCAAACCTCCTTTAGCAGCCGTAGCTCAGCTGTTCGAGCATCAGATTTGTAATCATAAGGTCGCGGGTTTGATACCCGCCCAAGGTAGCATGGGTTCGACATCTCTTGGAAGAGGCACACAGCTCCCATTTCCAACAGCCAATAATGTGTTAAGAAGTGCCCTTAAAATCAACAAAAATCATCTCCATGAAAAGATTTCCAAATCTTTTTATTACCAGTGCGATAAGATGACTCGCCATTTTCAGAATGTCGAAATGAAAGAGGTGAATTAATAACATACAATCCAAACAAACATGCGTCGGTCTTATTAGCCCTAGTTTATGACTTTGAGTACTGGTTTTGATTATATGTTGGCCCATTTTGTAAAAAACAGATTTTCTTAATTCTGATCTTTTCCGAGTAATGTATTAACAGATTTGGTTATGCATGTAAACTCATTTAAACTCAGTATCACAGTATTTCTACTAATTGTAACCTTGTACGTCCTGCAGTCCTCAGCTGGCGATATTTATAGACACCATATTAATTTGTAGCAAGCAGTCCTATGACTGTAGTTAAACCTCAGATTTTTTCATTGAACATATATTCCACTTTTTAAACGTGTATGTTGTTACATTCCTATTTATGTTATTTATGTTATTTCTGTTATGTATGTATGTATGTATGTATGTATGTATGTATGTATGTATGTATGTATGTATGTATGTATGTATGTATGTATGTATGTATGTATGTATGTATGTATGTATGTATGTATGTATGTATGTATGTATGTATGTATGTATGTATGTATGTATGTATGTATGTATGTATGCATGCATGCATGCATGCATGCATGCATGCATGCATGCATGCATGCATGCATGCATGTATGTATGTATGTATGTATGTATGTATGTATGTATGTATGTATGTATGTATGTATGTATGTATGTATGTATGTATGTAGTTAAACCTCATATTTTTTTCATTGAACATATATTCCACTTTTTAAACGTATATGTTGTTACATTCCTATTTATGATATTTATGTTATTTATGTTATTCCTGTTATTCCTGTTATGTATGTATGTATGTATGTATGTATGTATGTATGTATGTATGTATGTATGTATGTATGTATGTATGTATGTATGTATGTATGTATGTATGTATGTATGTATGTATGTATGTATGTATGCATGCATGCATGCATGCATGCATGCATGCATGCATGCATGCATGCATGTATGTATGTATGTATGTATGTATGTATGTATGTATGTATGTATGTATGTATGTATGTATGTATGTATGTATGTATGTATGTATGTATGTAGTTAAACCTCAGATTTTTTTCATTGAACATATATTCCACTTTTTAAACGTATATGTTGTTACATTCCTATTTATGTTATTTATGTTATTTATGTTATTTCTGTTATGTATGTATGTATGTATGTATGTATGTATGTATGTATGTATGTATGTATGTATGTATGTATGTATGTATGTATGTATGTATGTATGTATGTATGTATGTATGTATGTATGTATGTATGTATGTATGTATGTATGTATGTATGTATGTGTGTGTGTAGGCATGCATCAGAAAAAGAAGAAGACGAACCTACTTTCCATATCATTTTGCGAGTATATTAAGAACCATTTAATCTGACAAATTTAACAGTGAATAGGCCTATAGGTGAAAAGTCTTGGGTAAGAAATTGGGTTCTGTTAATATTTTTTTTTATTTTTGTAAACATTGAAACTTTACGTACTTATCTCTCTCCACAATACTTTGACCGTTTGAGTGTTAACTTTGTGCCTTTAAGTATGTTTACATTATGTCAGGCTGACAACACTAGAGTTTACTTAAGACTATCGAGAAGTTTATGGCTTACTTCATCCTATCCTCTACAGGTCTATGATGATGTATGAACATCATCGGTTCTCCAGGAGATCAATAAAACACATGCATGAGTGTAAGTGACCTTACTTCTGCTTGCTTGTTTGCGTGCGTTTTTTTAATTTCCCAATATTTATGTGAAATCCGCAGAATGTGATTAGTACAGATAGGTACCGATCCGGTGTTATCTTGGTAGTCTGGCCTCCTACGTTGCTTTGCACTTAGCCAGTGTATCAGACTAACCTTTTGTGCATCGGTTTCATCGATTACCTAGGAAATAAAGGGTGTTATGATTCGGAGTATGTTGTTGGTGTTGAAGATAGTGACTTAACGAGAGAACAAAAGAAAGATAAAGCAAGAAACAAGGTTGGTAGGGTCTGTGTGTGTGTGTGTGTGTGTGTGTGTGTGTTTGGGAACGCTGCTTTGGTGCATGATTTTTTTTTAAAAAAAATACCGCAATCACATGCAATATTGGTATACAAATAAAGTTTATATGTATTACAACATAGTCAACCAGTTTTACCCGTGTTGTATAATACATTCTTACATGCTTATTGGGACAAATGATACTAAAGTAAGAGACAATTTAATTAATTTAGTTACGTTTATTGTATTTTACGGAAACAGCAGCACAATAATGTTATTTCGTGTTAATATAACTGCAGCAAACTACCTTACCTAAAGACACGCCACCTCAATTCTCCCCGAGTGATTTGATCACGTGTACGACACCAATGAATTATATGAAATCGTGCCGCCATTGGTCGCCTTTTATGAGGAAGGAAAGCCCTTTGGGACTATTCTACATGGGGGAGAGGTTGTTGTTAATGCTGTAGAGTATATGGTGGATATTTAAACCCAAAAGCATTGTGATGAGATGGGAGAATGATTATATTTCGCAAAGAAATTAGTAACAATTTAGGAGTTATAAAGTTGAGTCATACGACATAAATTACAGTGCATGCTTTACAATGTAAAGATTTACCGTTTGCCACTTGGTGTAATGGCTTGCCATTGTTAAAGGGTCTACAGATGGAATGTAAATTATACAGTTGGTATAAAACACAATGGTAAATAGGACCATTTGAAAAGAGTACAATATTTTCTTTATAGCAAAGAATAAAAAAACTCATCATTTATTGTAATGAAATTGTTTAAAAAGTTGGTTATTATAATATATAAAGTTCAAATATTAAAGAAACTATTTTCAAGGGTTGACATTAAATGTCAAAAAATAGGTTTTAAAAATGTAAAAGGATGGGTCGCATACGATGATGTATTTTCGGAGTTCAAAGCTAAGGATATTAAAAATGATCTCCCCAAAATGAGGAAATGAAGTCAGTAACCCTGAAATCTTCAATTGTATATAGACCAGTGTGTGTGTGTGTGTGTGTGTGTGTGTGTGTGTGTGTGTGTGTGTGTGTGTGTGTGTGTGAGAGAGAGAGAGTGTGATTATGATTTTTAACGTATTTTTAACAATTATTCAGTCATATCGCTACGATGTCTGCAGTGTGGCAGTTTACAGTGATGTCTAGCACTGGGACATCATGCCGCATACATGTAACATGATGTCCCACCCAGTCACATTATCCTGACTCCAGGCCGATCAGTTCTAACACTAACCTCTTAATGTTGACAGTACCATTTTTTTGTACGTTTTTGGTATGACTTGACCGGGGATAAAACCCACTAGGCCACCACAGAGAGAGAGAGAGAGAGAGAGAGAGAGAGAGAGAGAGAGAGAGAGAGAGAGAGAGAGAGAGAGAGAGAGAGAGAGAGAGAGAGAGAGAGAGAGAGAGAGAGAGAGAGAGAGAGAGAGAGAGAGAGAGAGAGCACAATCAATAATTAGAACTGATGTGGAGTTCAGTGTGTGGCACGTAGAGAACTAAATGTTCATCTTAGAATGATTAAATCGGGTTCTTTTTCTTGACAAAAAAGTCAGAGAAAACACAAATCTAGTGCGAGATAGTACACAATGATCTTTCATAAAATTTTGGCCTGTATAGTATTTTAATTTGTTTTAAATTTTTATTTATTTATTCTTTCTTCATAGCGGCTAGGAGATGAGGTATATAATGTGAATGTATTTTAGATTTTGTTTCATAACCAATTAGTTATATTTCAAGCAATCTTTGTAAGATACTGACACCATGTAGAGTACAAAGGAACGTGCTTTACTACTGACGATTAAAGTGTTAAGAAATTTTATTTTATTTGCACTACACATTGCAGAGTGTAATTGACAGTGACCGATTCGCAAAAAAATCAAAATACATACCTCTATAGCAATTCTTACGATCCAAAAAAACTTACTGTTGCCAATTAAAAATAGACGTATTACGGTTGAATGTATGTAAATTTACACTGGAGATCACATAACAGGTGGGGGTCTTGTACTGCCACCAATGTCAATTATGCATAATACAAAAGCCACATACGAACTGTAGAAAATAAACGTGTTTTATTTTCTGGTAACTTGATGGCTATTTTACTTTACACAAAGCCGTGACATTCATGTCACCGTCAATACTGGCTATTATTATTTGACGAGTTGATTCAGATAACTTTTACCATATTAGGATAGTTAAATTACATCTTGATCAGGTCGAAAGTAAATGTAACCGCTGTACACCAGACAACAAACCAATCCGGTGGCCTAGTGGTTATAGCCGGTGCCTCGGATGCGAGAGGTCACGGGTTCGAACCTCTGCCGAGTCATACTAAATACTTACAAAAATGGTACTAACTGCTGCCACGCTTGACGCTCAGCATTATGAGGCTAGTGATTGGACTGGTTGGCCTGGTGTCAGGATAATGTGACTATAAACTGTCACAATGCAGACATCGTAGTGATATGACTAAAAGATTGACAAAGCTACGTTAAAAATCTAAATAACACACACATACACACACGCGCACGCGCGCGAACCGCACAACAATGTTTGATGAACGGCTGTGTACCATATAACAAAGCTTGATAAACGGTTGTACGCCATATAACAAGGCTTTATAAATGGCTGTACGCCATATAACAAGGCTTGATAAACGGCTGTACGCCATATAACAAGGCTTTATAAATGGCTGTACGCCATATAACAAGGCTTGATAAACGGCTGTACGCCATATAACAAGGCTTGATAAACGGCTGTGCACCATATAACAAGGCTTGATAAACGGCTGTACGCCATATAACATGGCTTGA